TCTCTATTATTACTTCTCTCTCTCTCTCTCTCTCTCTCTCTCTCTCTCTCTCTCTCTCTCTCTCTCTCGAAAAAATAGAGTAATATCACAGTTATATTGTGGACATTAGAACATGCACGACCGTTTCAAAGACTCTCTCGCGCCGTCGAACGGCGTTTTTATCGTCGAAGAAAACGGGGATGGATGATGAGCGTCCTCGATTCACGTTCTCGCGCGATACACGGATTCCGTGATTAAGAAACGAACGAAGAAGAAGAAGAAAGAAAGAAAGAAAGAAGGAAAGAAAGAAAGAAAAAGAAGAGAAAAAAAAGGAAAATTTCGACGACGTTTTCCGATGCTCGCGCATCATCGCGCCGTAGATAGATGATAACGAATAAAATTCATCCCTCCTCATCGGCGTTTTCGACGTTTTATATCCGGTGTACATGTTCCTTCCTACGTAACGATCAAAACGTCGGGGAGATTTTACACGTCGATATAATAGATTTTCCACGATGAAACGTCAAAAAACTCACGTCACGCGAGATATCTTTAGAAACTTGAGAAAATCTGTAATCTTGTTGTAATTTATACACGCACACGCACGCGCACGCACGCACGCACACATATATATATATACACATATGCATATATATATATATATATATATACACACGTATGCATATATATAGATATCTCTTTAAATAAATTTCTATGATACACGTTGAATTATTATTTACACAACAGCAACAACAGCAGCAGCAGCAGCGGCAGCGGCGGCGGCGGCAGCAGCGGTGGTGTTGGCGAGCGAACGAACGAACGAACGTCGTCGCATCATATCTCTCGTCGGATTCGCTACGTTATATTACACTAACCGTATGACGGAGCGTACACTGAAAACGTTCGACACGATTGGCGGCCAGCATCGTCCACGATTCAAGGGTGTACAGCGGCACCGATCCTCTGCCCGTAGATCGCGTACGGGGAATAGTAGGGTCCGAGCGCGTTGAACGCGCTGTAAGGCGAGGCGGCCAACGAGGCTGGAAGAGGCCCCGTCGGCGGTTTCCCGTACGGATGGTATCTAGCTCCGAGGGGGCTGAGCGAAGGCGTCGGGTAAGTGGCGGCGGCGGCGGCGGCGGCGCTCGCGCGGTGGAGAGCGGCCGACGGCGAGAGCAAAGGATGCGGATGCGGGTTGGCGAGGAGGGCCGCCGAGGAGGACGCCGCCGCCGCCGCGTGATCGCCACCGGCCAGGCTGGTGTGGCTGCGAAGATGCTGGAGAAGCTCGTCCGAGGTGGTGAACCGTTTCCCGCAGTAGGAATCGCCAGCGATCCAATTGCAAACGTACGGCCTGCCCCCGGTCAGCGTGGACGGGTAGGAGAGCGACGGGGGGGCCATGGGGCCGAACGACGATAACGCCATCGCCAGCCCGTACTTCTGATGATCGCACTGCGTGCACCCGCTCGGGCACGTACCGGTCCCCATCATCAATTGCGCGCTGTGCATACTGTATTGGCAGCCGGTGCAGTAAGGATCCTTGCACACGGGCACCAACGCCTCCCCGCCGGCGGGCGTCTTGACACGAGCGTAGCTCAGATACGGGTTCCCGCCCGTCGGGGTGCTCGACGGATAGCCGAGGAGGGCGGCCGCGGCCGCGTGATGATGCGAGAAAGGGGACGCGCCGGCGAACGGCGGTCTGAACGCTGGATTCTCCGCCAAACCGGGTGGGCAGCACAACGGATTTCCCGAGAATCCTGCCAGGGTGCCGGGCTTGTACGCCGCCAAATTGCTGCTATCCTTGGCGTGGCCGCCCGAAAGGATCTCCATACCGGATCTGATGATCGGGCTTGTTCCGTTGTTGTTGTTGCTGCTTGTACGGGGCGATCCGTCGGTTTTCTCTCGATCCGCGGGCGTCTTGCGATCGATGATGGACGGTGTGGTGCTCGACGTGGCCGTCGCTTGACTCGCGGGCGAGGCCGACTTCCGACCGACGGGAGTACGATTTCCCGACGACTTTTTCTCCGCGTGATTCCCGCTATCACTCGCACTCATCGCACCACCACCACCACCACCACCACCACTGCCGCCGCCACCACCACCACCACCACCACCTCCACCACCGCCGCCACCGCCACAACTCTCTTGACCACTGACACTGTGAACACTAGCTTTGGAAGCAGGCCTACTCTCGTCGGAGGACGACTTCTTCGAGACAACGTTAGTCTCGTATGGTTTGAACGCCAACGATTTCCCGTCCGACGGGCTGCTGCGTGTACTCCGTTCCAACTTGGCGGCTGGTGGAGATTTCGCATTCGTACCGGTATTCATGCCTTTGGACGTTTTATCCAGCGGGGAAATCAAAGGTTTTGTCGGTGAATCGGCACCTATTTGACTGCATGTTTGAGCCAATAAAGCTAAAGGACTCTTCTTCGCATCCAACTGTAAAATAAAGTTGAGCAACACGTTACACTTTTACAAATACGACGAAATAAAAATGGGTATTCGAGATGTTTTGGAAAATGAAATAGAAATAGAAGAAATTCGATCGGGAACACGCGATCGAGATATAGACGTGTACGGTATACAGCAACCCGTCGGACAACGCGTACCGTCGCTAGCTTCACTATCGTACGTTATACAACATATCGATAGATCTCGAGCTATTCGTTCTTTTTTTCCTCCCCCGCACGATATTTTCGGAAGAGAAACTTGTCCTTTCTATCGTTTCGCGATAGAAAAAAGAAAAAATAGTCTACGAGAAGAAACGTTATTTCTCTCTCTTTCTCTCCCTCCCTTCCTCTTTTTCTCTAAAAACCTACTTAAAAAAGGAGGACGAGAATCGAGAAAAAATAAGGAATTCAAAAATAATATGTATATATATATATATATACTGACCGTGGTTGGAAGCGGAGAAAGATAATCCGGTTGTAAATATTGATTATGTCCAGTGGTCAGCATACCGCCTTCCTCGAGAACAACCATTTGGTTTTGCACTTGTTAAGCGAATCACTGCACGAAACTACGATTGAACAGAGGGCACAGACGGAATAAACGTAAAAAAAAGCGATATATTTCGCGCATTCGCGAGGCACAGTTTCGCGTATATATATATATATATATATACATATATATATATATATATGCGATATATATATATATACGTCGTTTGGTCGATCGACTTCCTTCCGTGATAAC